CCCCCCTGAACCCCCCCAAACCCTAAACCCTAAACCCCCCCAAACCCTAAACCCTAAACCCCCCCAAACCCTAAACCCCCCCCCAAACCCTAAACCCTAAACCCTAAACCCTACGATTGTTCCAGATGTCATATGATTTGGCACTCCGGGCTCGACCCCCCCGAATGCGACGAGACAAAGAGGCACACGGTTTTTAGGGTCTACCAGGGTTTAAGGTTTAGGGGTTTTGGGGCTTTAGGGGTTTAGGGTTTAGGGTTTAGGGTTTAGGGGGTTTAGGGTTTAGGGCTTTAGGGTTCGAGGGTCTACCTGGACCCCAAAGAACCTACCTTTTCAGGGCTCCTTATTATGATCTCCTTACATAGGTCCTTAAAAAGGTAGGTTCTTAGGATTCATAGGGTTTAGGGTTTAGGACTCATAGGGTGTAGGGTTTGGGATTCATAGGGTTAGAGGTTTAGGATTCATAGGGTCTAGGGCTTAGGATTAATAGGGTCGAGGGTTTAGGACTCATAGGGTGTAGGGTCTAGGAGGGTTTAGGATTCATTTGGTTTCGGGTTTAGGGTATCTCTTTACCCACTGGTGACCGGATGTGGATGAATTGCTGCTCGGACCTTGCAGACGCAGAGGCGAAGAATGCAGACCCTAAACCCTAAACCCTAAACTCTAAACCCTAAACCCTTAACCCTAAACCGATAGATCATCATCGAGCTGCGGCCATCGTGCATGCAGGGGCTCCCACTATTGAAACAATCGGGGGACTTCTATAGACGCTCTATATCAGTACAAGGACTATTGTTCAGGCCCCCACATGAATTCAAACCTTGTGGAGAAGAACTGGATGATGTAGGGGCCTCAATAATTAGAATAGGGTTTTGGGCCCCTTATAGGGTTTTGGGCCCCTTATACTATAAGTATAATAAGGAAGCCCCAAAATAGTATTGGTAATTATTTGGGCCCCTACATTACCTCCAGACCCTGTAAGCAAAGTCTTGGACCCTGGCCGTGACCTGAAACCCCGAAACCAAACAACTAAACCCTACACTTAAACGGTTTACGGTTCAGGGTTTAGGGTTTACCCTAAAGAACCTAGCTTCTTAGGGCTCCCTATTATGATTTCTGTATGTAAGTCCTTAAAAAGGTAGGTCGTTTGGGGTTGAGGTGAACCTAAAACCCCTAAAACCCCTAAACCCTAAACCCTAAACCCTAAACCCTAAACCCTAAAACCCTAAACCCCTGAACCCTAAACCCTAACCGCTAGCACCCTAAACCCCTGAACCCTAAACCCTAACCCCTAGCACCCCAAACCCCTGAAACCCCTAAACCCTCAACTCCTGAACTCCGAAGTCTGAGGCTACAACCATAGAAATTCGAGGGCGCCGTGAATCCCAAATCTAAAACAACTGAACTGTAAGGTTTAGGGTTCAGGGTTTAGGGTTTAGGGTTTAGGGTTTAGGGTTTAGGGACTTACTCTTAAAACCCTCTGAGCCCGGAAGCCTTGCAACACAGCCTACATTTTTTACTATCAAGTGCATCGGCCTTTGGGCACACGGTTTAGGGCTGAGGTTTCCAGTCATTACAGAACCCTTAGGGTTTAGGGTTTAGGGCTTCGGGTTTATATTCCCCCAGCCGCCTTTCCAGAGTCTCCGCAGAGGCTGCTGTTGGCGCCGAAGCAGGCACCGCCTGACGCAGACTCTATGTCGGATTGGGGGTGTTCGGGGCTTGGGTGTATTAGGGTTTAGGAATTAAGGTTGAGGGTTTTGGGGGGTTTAGGGCTTATGGGATTGAAGGGTCCCGGGCACTAGAGGTGAAGCGTTTGGGGCGTAGACATTTGTCTCACATACAGGGCTAACCTTAGGAGCTTCGGATTCACGATTCACGGTTTAGGGTTTTTTAAGTGTTGGGTTTAGGGTTTAAGGTTTAGTGTTCAGGGTTCAGGGTTTAGGGTTGAGGATTCAGGGTTCAGGGTTTAGGGTTTTGGGTTCGGGGTTTGGGGTTTAGGGTTTAGGATTTCGACTGGCCCTAGGAGGTTCAAGCAGCGAAAGTCGAGGTTGGTCGAGCTGTTCGTCCATTGGGCCCGCTGGCTGTAACCACAGTTCTTACTTTCAATTACCCGTGGCGTTCTAGTGCTAGTACTAATAGCTGTGAAGGGACTGCAACTAGACACGGATACACACATACCAGGCTACAGCCGGGACCCAGTCAGCGAAGAGCGACAGGGTCGGCTCAACACCTCATGTACCCCCGGCTGTGTGAAAAGGAGCAACGAGACTACGACATGTAAGAGCAACAGTAATAATGATAATATATGATAATCATACCATAACATCGTACCAATAATCATAATCATAATAAATCACTATGAAGAAGAAGAACCGTAGGAATAGCAATGGCAATAGCAATAGTGCTTGCAATAGCAATGAGATTGACAGTAGCAATAGCAACAGCAATAGCCATAGCAAGAATCATGATAACAACAGGTGTACTAGTAATCGCAACCTTCGCCAAAAGAAAACAGCATCTAAACCCCCAAGTCAGGAACCCCTCAAGCCATGCCTGCGGCTGCGTGACGGTCTTGGCAGAACCTCAAACTGGAAAGTCTGGGGGTGTTGGGTTTAGGATTACGGGGTTTAGGGTGTAGGGGTTTAGGATTTTAGGGTTTTTGATTACGGGGTTTAGGGTGTGGGGGTTTAGGATTTGAGTCAGGGGTTTAGGGGTTCAGGGGTGTGAGAAACGGGTTTCGCTTCGAGATTGGTTAATAGGGCTCATTGTCAAGAACCCTAAACCCTAAACCCTAAACCCTAAACCCTAAAGTATCCTGTTTATAGGAAACCCGGCACGATGGGAGAATAACGAAACCCTGGTGCCTGAATTCCTAAACCGTAAGCTCAAGAGGCCAACCTAGACCTTAAGCTGCACTTTCTGTGAGGTTTTAGGGCTGAGGGGTCTCTACCTCAGGTTTAGGCTTTGGCGGCCAGGATCGGGCAAGCAGACTTCATAGTTTGGTAGGTAACTAGTATAGTCAAGCCAAGCACTGGAACCGCTGGTCGATAAAACCCCACCAAGCACCGCACTCGGTTGGGAAGGCCTGAACAGAGCATGCCGAGATTTGAGTGTTAGGGCGTTTAGGGCTATATGGTGCTAAGTGCTTCCAGGATTTGTCGGCTTCAATACGATGTGGCCATTTTTTCTGGGGGGGTGGTCTAGGCAATTTCTCCGGATTGTATGGTCGTTTCATGCTTTACACCGTCTTCCAACGAGCTTCGAAGCTTCGGGTCAAAAGCGCTGCTTACGCAACGGGGATCTTGCAATTCAGAGTGTCTGCGAAGTGTGGCTCGGCTAGACACCCCCAGACCCAATCCGAAAATAGGGGACCCTAATATAGTACCCTAAATAGTAGGACCCTCATTATAAGGACCCCAAAAAAAGGTACCCCCTATTTTCGGAAACTCCCACATGGGCTAGATCCACGGGTCTACCACGTCAAGTCACGGGAGCTCAGGATACGAAAGCCCTTTCGAAGATCTGCGGCAGCGGACATGGGGGTGTGGGGTTTTGAGGGTTTAGGGTTTAGGGTTTAGGGTTTTAGGGTTTAGGGTGACAAATGAAGGTTACTATCAGGGTTATCAGGAGAATCAGGGAGAGCAGTTCAGCAAACTAGTCATGGGTTGGCAAAAACCACTAGGCTAATCTTGCAGTGTGGTACTGTCCCTAAACCCTAAACTCTAAACCCGAAAGCCCTACACCTAAACCCCCTATACCCAAGGCCCCTAGCCCTCGAGTGTAGTGGGGTTGTAGGGTGCGAGTGCGAAGTAGGGCTTGGGGCTCAGGCTCTAGGTTTAGACAAATTGAAAAGTATGTCGGAAACTGCGTAGCTTGGGGCTGGCCTTTGGGGTCCAGGACCGGGACGAAACACATGTCTTGTAACATCAACACACCCTCGAAAACAAAAAAACTACCAGAATCCCTCCCAACCCCCCAAAACACCACTGAAAACCTCGAGTTTCAACAAGAGCCCTTTAATCCAAGCCCCGGTAGGCCTAAACGCCTTGTTCTTAAGCCCGAGAACCCTAAACCAAAAAAAAACCAACCCTAAACCCTAAACCCTAAACCCTAAACCCCCCCAACCCTAAACCCCTAAACCCTAAACTCTGCAAAAAGGCCCATGACCGGCCTCTTCGTCTCTGTCCGAGGCGGTGCGGCCTCCGAGTGGTGTGAGGACTCGTAGGTTCGGAACAAGGTTCGGGCTTTCTTAATGTAGTAGGGGGCTTAATCATCAGAATGGGGTTTTGGGGTGTGATTGGACAAGATGTCTGAGCGGGCAAACGAAACTAGAGGGCTTATGCCTCATCATAAACTGTTAAGCCGCGGGGTTTTGGGGTATATCATACTAGAATTATTATAAAGAACCTCCCAAAATAGTATAGGTAGTTCTTACCTCCCCAATGAGTCAGCGAAATGAAAGGTTAAACTACTTTCAGCTTACCCCTAGGTCCCATAGTAGTTCCTTTTTGGGCTTACCTTCTATGAACCCCCAAAAGGAACTACTATGGGGCCTATGGGTACTACTAAGTCATGAGAACCCGAAAAGTTTAAAGGTTGGGCACTGGAGAACTAAGTTGTTCGCTTGAACGAGGATGTCAACAGCGTGCAGGGCGCTGCGTGGCTTTGTGAAGGGAAGCTAGATGTATGCTCATGGTGCTTTAGTTGGTTATAGCTCTGAGGGTTCAGGGGTTTGACTTGGTTCGGAGGCTTCCGATTTGAGGGTGGGGGCTTTAACAAAAATCGGGGTTTAAGAACGTAGTCGGGGGTTGCGGGTTTCAGGCTTCGGGGCGTCGTGCTACGGTGCGTTAGTTCAGTTTCTTCGTTGATTGTGTTCGATCCGCTTTCCTAGGATCGGCAACTGGTTCAGATTAGGTTTTGGGTTCAAGGTGTCGGGTTTTGTTCGGACCTATAGGGTTTAAGGCTCTTGGGGCTGAGTTTTGTTTGGAAAGGGTGTGAGGCTTTTGGCTTACAAGGCTTGCTGCCAGAAGTTAGTAAGTAGTAGTGGCGCTGTTGCTGTGCCCACCGTCAACACAAAAACAGAACCAACATTCAGCACCAAATCAGTCACCACCAGCATCTCCACCGTCCAAAATACGAAACCGGACTGATACACCTCCATTATCCCTCCATTGTCCTCCATTGCCACCATCCTAAACGCCAAGCCCCACCATTCCTTCCGCATCCCCATCGTTGTCATCATCATCACCATCACCATCATCACCATCGTTATCATCCTCGCCATCACCATTATCATCCTCCCTTGTCAGAATCAACGTTCTTGCCACAGCATCATTCATCTTACTGGGCCAGTCCCCTGAAACTCGAGACACAGAAGCCTCCACGCCTGAACCCGTACAACTCCCTGCAAAATTACGTCAACGCTCCCCTAAACCCTAAACCCTAAACCCTAAACCCTAAACCCGAAACCCCGCAATCTCCGTTTCGGGTGAGAATCACGCGCAGGCTCGGAGGTCTTTGCCGATGTGGTGAAACAGAAAATGAAAATTTGGGATCCAAGGGTTTAGGGTTTAGGGTTTAGGGTTTAGGGTTTAGGGTAGGCCTGTCTTAGTAAAGTAAAGCGTCTGGTTCTCACACTGAGATGTAAGGTCCAACTTATCGGAGACACCCTGAACCCATCTAAACCCTAGAACCCCGAACCCCAATACACCCCCAAACCCTGAACCCTCAACCCTACATCCTAAACCCTAAACCCTAAATCCTAAACCCTAAATCCTAAACCCTAAATCCTAAACCCTACATCCTAAACCCTAAACCCTAAACCCTACAACCCTTACAGGCCCGAGCCATCTCCACGGCGTCTCCTTGCCCTAGCTGCTGGCGTTCACGCCGCAGCTGCTGGGACAGTAGCCGGGCCGTTCCGGCCCAAGGCATCCGCAGCTTTCCTGGATATAGGGTTTAGGGTTTAGGGTTTAGGGTTGAGGCATCCGCAGCTTTCCTGATCTGGGCTTTGAAATAACCACGGGGAAAAAAGGTATAGGTTTTTATTTCATAATGGTTCCTTTAAGGAACAGATCCCCCAAAAAAGGTATTAAAGTACGGTATTCCGCAGCTTTCCTGGTGCTTGAGAGCTTGCCGAAACTCTGGGTTGAGGGTTTGTTTAGGGTTGAGGGTTTAGGGTTTAGGGGTTGAGGGTTTGTTTAGGGTTGAGCGTTTAGGGTTTAGGGGTTGGGGGTTTAGGGCATTTAGGGTTTAGGGTTTCGGGGTTCAGGGTTTGTTTAGGGTTGAGGGTTTAGGGATTTAGGGGTTGAGGGTTTGTGGGTTGAGGGTTTAGGGTTTCGGGGTTCAGGGTTTGTTTAGGGTTGAGGGTTTAAGGATTTAGGGGTTGAGGGTTTGTTTAGGGTTGAGGGTTTAGGGTTTAGGGGTTCAGGGTTTGTTTAGGGTTTAGGGTTTAAGGATTTAGGGGTTGAGGGTTTGTTTAGGGTTGAGGGTTTAGGCGTTTAGGGGTTGAGGGTTTAGGGGTTTAGGGTTTCGGGGTTCAGGGTTTGTTTAGGGTTGAGGGTTTAGGGATTTAGGGGTTGAGGGTTTGTGGGTTTAGGGTTTAGGGGTTGAGGGTTTGTTTAGGGTTTAGGATTTAGGGTTTAGGGGTTGAGGGTTTCTTTAGGGTTTAGGGTTTAAGGATTTAGGGGTTGAGGGTTTGTTTAGGGTTGAGGGTTTTGGGTTTAGGGGTTGGGGGTTTAGGGGGTTTGGGGTTTAGGGGTTTAGGAGTTTAGGGTTTAGGGTTGAGGGTTTATGGGGTTTGGGGTTTAGGGTTTATGGGGTTTAGGGTTTAGGGGTTGAGGGTGTATGGGGTTTAGGGTTTAGGGGGTTTAGGGTTTACGGTTGAGGGTTGATGGGGTTTGGGGTTTAGGGGTTTAGGGGTTTAGGCTTGAGGGTTTATGGGGGCTTCTGGAGGGATTTATAGGCCTTCGCCAGGGTCTCGTCGCGGTTCAAGGGCGTCTAAGAAGGCAGTGGAAAGCTTACGCACAGGGTTTGGGGACTCCTGACTAAGGCTGTGGGGCCTTTCGGGGGTATATTATACTATACCCATAGGCCCCATAGTAGTTCCTTTTTGGGGTTCATATTTAGAATCCGACAAGGTAATCCCAAAAGCAACTACTATGGGGCCTATGGGTAGTTATAATAAGGAACCCACAGCCACAGTTTAGGCTCCTATATTACTATGTAAGGCTTCTGGGCCAATGCGAGCCTGAGGGTGCAGGAATTAGAATTTAGGTCGTTGCCTAGTTGCCTAGTTCCCTCGCCCCAAAAGAGCCTAACTTGTCACTATGATAGGGTTATAGAAACAAAAAAGTGAAGGTTGAACTCATTAGATAATGAGGGTTCTAGTCCATTGTACTTAATAGCAAACAGTCGCGCCAAACAAACACACTACAGTATAGGGCGTTAGTGATTAAAACAGGGTTTTGGGCTCCTTCATAGTATAGTTATACCAAGGAGCCTCCAAAATAGTATTGGTAATTATTCAGGCCCCCTATTAGGTTCATTGACCCTGATAAATGGAACTTCAACCGGCATATCCAGTGCTGCGTGAGTGCGTGAGTGGGGCTTTGATGCTGTACTGTATTAAGGGGTTGAAGGGCTTTGGGCTGCTATAGGGTTTAACGTTTGGGGTTTAGGGCTTCAGGGTTTTAGGTTGTTTTTGTTGAAGGCCCTTTTCCGTCCAGCAATCCACCGTTAGGAAGCCCGATAGGGACAGGGTCTTAGGGTTTAGGGTTTCTAGTTCATGGTTGGGGTAGTATTAAAAATTTAAATTTCTATTCCTTATTAGGTTTAAGTACCCTTAAAAATGTAAAATGTTACCCAACTATGACAAAGGTTTGGGGTTTGCGGCTATGGTCACCCAGCACCACTCGCAAAGCCTCTCATTATAAGCGTGACGTGCTGCGAAAAGGCTTCGAGTTCAGGTCGTGCTAGACATGAAGCAGACGGGCTGCGCCGGAACGGTGTCATTAGGGCCCTCAAAAAGCACATAAGCAAAAATTAGGATAGGGATATCCCATATAAATCCCCTTACAAAGAAGCCCGATAAGGTAGGGATATCCCTATAAAGTGCTGCTTATAACCTTTTTGGGTTCCTAAGTCATGAATTCTTGAGACTCCTATGCAAAATATGTCCACGCGCCAAGGTTCTGGGCATAGCCACGCCAGCGGCCGGTACAGGGGCGGAAAACCGGCACACCAATCCTGGGAAAAGGCGAAGGGTGGAGGTTTTCTGGCTTCAGTTCATCCGACATGCTGAAACTCTAAATCCCAAGCCCTAAACGCTGCAACACACTAGACGCCAAAGGCTACACCTTAAGTGCAAAGCCTGTCTCCAAACCTGAATCTTTATTGTGGCACCAGAGGTCCAAGCACCAAGCCGGCGACGAGCAACCGAGCGGCCGCACTAAATAGAAAGTAGACTTTTATAGGTAAGGTAACTATTAGTTATGTCATATCCGTTTACAGCCCCAATTAAGGTACCTATCACCACACTTACTAATCCCCGAAATCTAGTTCACCCCTAGACTTCAAACTCCAAGCCCCCAACCCCTGAACCCTTAGGCCCCCAAACCCTGCAAAACCGGCATAGATCCTTATGGCAGAATCCTTGCGGGAACCCCTTTAAGGAATCCCTTTCAGGAAACCCCAGACCCTAAACCCTAAACCCTAAGCCCTATACCCTAAACCCTAAACCCAAAGCCCTATACCCTCAACCCTAAACCCAATACCGTATACCCTAAGCCCCATACCCTAAACCCTAAACCCTTTTAACGAATCCCTTTAAGGAAACCCCAGACCCTAAACCCCAAACCCCAAGCCCTTTTAACGAATCCTTGAGGGGCCGTGGCTCGTTCGAGCTCGATATCTCGAAACGAAGTGCGGGATCCTGAAATCCGGCACATCCTCTGGCCTTCAGACGTTTTGCGAGAGGCGGTTGTGTGGTGTCTTATTGGAGTTTTACGGGGAAATTGTTGGGTTGTGTGAGGGTTTGTGGAATCTTCTGTCTGGTGCTTAGTAGGGAATGGGGGAATGGGTTATAGGGACTACCATCAGGGACCTTAAGGGACTATCATAGGGATCCATTCCCTTTTCCCTACTAAGCACCAGACAGTCAGACGTGGGGGCGAGAGGCGGTTGTGTGGTGTCTTATTGGA